CCCGCTGCTCCCCCCTCTGGCCACCGAAGGCCTTGCCAGCCCATAATACTCTTGCCTCTGGTCGCAGGAGGCCTCCAGCCCATAATACTCCCTTCCACCACCACCCCCCCCTTCCCGCCCCGCACCCCTTCCTCCCGCCTCCAGTTGGAGCCGGGCCTCACCAGCCCATAATATTCCCCAGTCTCCTAAGGCTGTTCCAGCCCATAATACTCTCCCTGTCTCCTAAGGCCTCTCCATCCCATAATACTGCCAGACGCCTGACCTGTGGGCCAAACCCCAGCCCGTTCCACACATCGAGGCTGTGTCAGCGCCGCCGGCCTCCTTCCCTGTCCCTCCTCCCTCCCTGGTCGCGCTTTCCCTCCCAGGCTTTCTCCCGCCCTCCTGCCCTGGGCCCCTCTCCCAGCCCCACCCCGTGCCTGCCTGGGCCCTCGCTTCCCCTCCAGCCTCCTCCCTTGCCCTTTCTCCATTGCTTGGTTCTCCAGCCAGCTTACCCCTGTCTTGCACTTTTCCACCTCCTCCTTGGTCTATGGGATGGACATGGGCCTAGTGGGGAGAGAGTGCCCCCAGAGGGCAACAGGCCAGTCGCTGCCCCTAAAGACTGCCTGCTTGACCTGGCACCGTGGAAACCTGCCCAGCCTGCCTTGTTCACCACCTCCCGTGGTCCTAGTTCTGATGGCTGGCAGAGCTCTGTCTGGGTGAGGATTCACCTGGAGCCCTTCACGTCTTCCGGAGACACTCGCGTTGGGCATTACTGGCAGTTTATCAATGGCCTTGCCTCCCCATGCTCATGTTGGAAAGAAGGCGTTCCCACTTATGGGGCCTCTAGAGTACCTTTCAAAGGTGGGCTCCTTGACCCTCACAATAACCCAGTAAGTGGATATTATGAGCCCCATTTCACAGAGAAATGGGAGAAAACAGAGGCTCAGAGAGGTCAAGAAATTTGTTGAAGCCACATTGCCAAGAAGTGAGAGAGTTGAAATTCATGCCCAGATTTGTTTGATTCCAAAGTTCTGGAGCCTTTGGGATTCCCCAAACCCTGAGTGAGAAAGTTCACCTTCCAGTACTTTCCATGCTCCTCCGGCAAGGACATGGTGAGAACTACCCCAGCTTGTCCAGGGCCTTCCTGTGTGAGATTAACCTTCCCTTCCCCATTTCTTCCATGGGACCCCAGATGGCAGCCTCGAGGGAATTCCATCCTCAAGATGGTTGAGGACCAAGAAGGAAGAATCTCTGCTCTCCTTTGGTATCCCTTACCTCTGCCCTGGCGCTCCTCAATTTCTTTTAATATCAATGATTGTGGCCGGGTGTGGTGGCTCACACCTGTAATCCCAGCACTTTAGGAGGCAGAGGCAGGAGGATCACATGAGGCCAGGAGTTCAAAACCAGCCTGGCCAACATGGTGAAACCCCGTCTCTACTAAAAGTACGAAAATTAGCTGGGCATGGTGGTGCATGCCTGTAATCCCAGCTACTCAGGAGGCTAAGGCAGGAGAATCACTTGAACTTGGGAGGTGGAGGTTGCAGTGAGCCGAGATAGCATCACTGCACTCCAGCATGGATGACAGAGCAAGACCTTGTCTCAAAAAATAAAATAAAATAAAATTAATGGTTGTTACTCTTCCCAGCTACTCTCACCACGTGGAGGGACCATCCTACAGAGGAGACAGACTTTCAGGAAGGGCGAACCAAAGAATGGTCCCTGCTCAGTGTAGACAATCAGGAGTGCTGCCTTGGAGATGTAGGGTACATCACAAGCTGGGGGAGGGGAGTCATGGCCAACTGCATGAAGTCTTAAGGCATCTTGCTTGTGTGTGGGCCCTCGATGGGGTGTATTTTAGGGTCCAACACAATTGGAACCTTGAGTGAGCCAGCTCTCAACCCCCCCAACCCCTGCAACCACATGGTGTTTGATAAACAGGGAGCTGAGACAAACAGAGAGTGAAGGGGTGGGTGTGCTGTAGGGGCAAGTGGATTAGGAGCATGGAGGAAGAACTGGGAAGAGGAAGGCCAAGATGATGCAGCAGATTCAAGGCAAGCCAGGCAGTTGAAAGAGGTGGCTACATGAGGAAGGGAGGAGAAGGAAGGAAACCCGGGTGATCTGTAACAGGAAAGAAAGTCCCAGGAAGGAGAGGTGTACTGCAAAAAGCAGGAGTTTGGGAGCCAGATACAGATCCAGCCACTTCCTAGTTGTGTGACCTTAAGACCTCAGATTCTCCAGGGTGTTTCTTCTGTAAAAGGGATGAACATCATCTCTAACTCAGACTATATTATTTAATATAATAAAGAAGATAATGCATCTTAAACACTAACTTGAAATCTTGGCATACAGAAGAGTATTTTTTAAACCTGCTAAAAGTCCGGGCGCAGTGGCTCACGCCTGTAATCCCAGCACTTTGGGAGACCAAGGTGGGTGGATCACCTGAGATCAGGAGTTCAAGACCAGCCTGGTCAACATGGTGAAACCCTGACTCTACTAAAAATACAAAAATTAGCCAGGCACAGTGGTGGGCGCTTGTAATCCCAGCCACTTGGGAGGCTGAGGCACGAGAATAGCTGGAACCTGGGAGGCGGAGGTTGCAGTGAACCAGGACCATGCCACTGCACTCCAGTCTGGGCAACAAGAGTGAAACTCCATTTCAAAAGCAACAACAACAACAACAACAACAAAAATTGCTAATGCTCATTCCCTTCCATCTAAGATTTTCCCCTTCTCTGTCTTTGGATTTTCCTAGACCTTGAATGGAGCAGCTCCAGGACAGGGGGTGAGGGTTCTGGACTTCATACTGCTCTCTTAGTCTTGGGAACCCTATGAAAATAGCCTAATCTATTCTTGCCTCTCTCTTCTCTTGATGGAAAGCCTTTGGATATCTGAATGGGGGAAAATAGTCCACCAGGGCTTTGACACCAGAGATTTCACATCAGAGACAACGTATTGCCATCTAGCTCTTCCACAGGCCATGGTCACACTTGTCCTCAGCTATTTTTTTTTTTTTTTTTTTCAGACGGAGTTTTGCTCTTGTTGCCGAGGCTGGAGTGCAATGGCACAATCTCGGCTCACTGCAACCTCCGCCTCCCAGGTTCCAGGCTATTCTCCTGCCTCAGCCTCCCTAGTAGCTGGGATTACAGGCATGTGCCACCATGCCCGACTAATTTTGTATTTTTAGTAGAGACGGGGTTTCTCCATGTTGGTCAGGCTGGTCTTGAACTCCCGACCTCAGGTGATCTGCCCGCCTTGGCCTCCCAAAGTGCTGGGATTACAGGCATGAGCCACCGCACCTGGCCGCCCTCAGCTGTTGTAATGGCTCCCTGACAAGTTGTCTTTTCCTTAGACTCCCCCCACCAATCATTTTCCTCCAGCTTATTCCACACAGTTTGTCAGTGTGAGCAAAACCTCACTCAGGAGCCTCCGTGGGCTTCCCATTGCCCACTAAACCAACTGCCAATACCTTACGCTGCATTCTTGTGTTTTCTGCCTGGCATTATAGTTTTTGTTTACTTGTTCTATGGTTCCCACTAGATTGTAAACTACTTCACAGCAAGAGCTGACTGTTCATTCATTCAACAAATATTTATTGAGCACTTTCTCTGTGCCAGGCACTGTTTTAGATGCTGGGGATCATCAGAGAATCGAAGAAAAATCCACGCCCCCATGGAACTTACATTCTACCCTAGGATATAGGACGGGGTGGCGGAGATGATAAACTATAAAAATTAGAATAAATAAATTATATGGTATGTTGGAAAGTGATACATGCCGTGAGTTGTAATCACTTTGGAACTCACATACCTGCCTATAAAAGTACTCAAGTAATCTTTAAAAATTGTGTTTGATTCTGTTTGAATAGGGCAAAGTGCTAAGATTTTGGACTACGAGGTTTTGTGCTGCCGGTGCTCTCAGGACAGGAAGGGCACAGATCTTGAACCCTGAAGATGAAGAGAGATGGAGCAGGTGCTAATCAATAGGCCTCTTCCACAGTGGCTGGAGGTAAGTGCCGGTCTCCAGACTCCAGTCTCCATCCAGATGGAGAAAGGCCCAGATTTCATGGCTATCCCTGACGAATCTGGGTCAGTTCTCTCATTTGGCCACCAGGGGTCATTTTACCCCTGTAAATCACCGTCTGGAGCACTTGGCATAAAGGCACACACAAAAGGCTACCCTGGACTAAAATACACAGACACAAATGGAGAACCCTGACACACACACACACTCTCTCTCTCGCTCTCTCTCACACACACACACAGTGCACGCACACACATATAAAGATACAGTATTGAGACATAGGGTCAGAAATGCTGTAGGATGCACACAGAGCAACAACTCCCTCAGTAATGTCAGGGTCTGAAGATGTCCACAAGTGCCAACTCTGCAGCCCCTCCGAGCCCCCAACTTGGGTAAAGAGGGAAGGAATAGCCGGGCGCGGTCGTTCATGCCTGTAATCCCAGCACTTTGGGAGGCGGGCAGATTCACCTGAGGTCGGGAGCTCGAGACCAGTCTGGCCAACATAGTGAAACCCCATCACTACTAAAAATACAAAAAATTAGCTGGGTTTGGTGGTGTGCACCTGTAATCCCAGTTACTTGGGAGGCTGAGGCAGGAGAATTGCATGAACCCGGGAGGCGAAGGTTGCAGTGAACCGAGATCACGCCATTGCACTCCAGCCCAGGCCACAGTGTTAGACCCCATCTCAAAAAAAAAAAAAAAAGGAAGGAATAGTAGATGGCCCATTTCCCTTGCTTCCAGCGTGCTGAGAATGGACAGCCTATTCCTGTCCTTCCATCTCACTCTTAACTTCCCCATAAACTCTTCTCTCCTGGCTATGGCACAGTTCTCTTAGTTCCCTTTTTCCTCCCCCAGAGAAGCCCCATTCCTTCCCCCTCAGCATATGACTAGTTCCACCCCAGTCTCCATCCCTGCCCCAGGGCTGCTGCTCTGATATGCCCAGGGTAGTGTTCCATTGTATGTACTACTCCTAGGGCCACAGGAAAACCCCAAGACATGAAGACTATCAGAATTGATTAATTTATTTAGCACTGCCCTCTTCCCACAATAATAGAAAGCACTGTACATAATGCCCTGGGAAGAAGTTAGACATGAACTCTAATACTTCAGGACAAGTGTGGTTCTCAAAGTGTGATCCAGGGACCAACCCTTTGAGGGAGTCCACGAGGTCAAACTATTTTCATAATACTGCTACACAGATATTATTTGTCCCTTTCACTCTCATTCTCTCACAAGTATACTGTAGAGTTTTCCAGAGGTTTCATGAAGTGTGTGTGGTGACATTATTGCTCTCGTGGCTAACAGAATGTGTGCATGTGTATTTATTTTAAAAATGTATTTGCTTTAATGTCTAGTATGGTAAGTATCAAAAGATAAGCAAAGCTGTTTGAGATCCTCAGTTTCCAAGAGTGGCATCTGAGACCAAAAAGTTTGAGAACCAATGCTTTAGTAGAAAGAATTTTCTCCTTACTCTGGACAAAGCAGAGAGAGAGAGAGAGAGAATATTAAGGATCTAAAATGGAGGAGGCCTGGAGAAGGGGGAGTGATGGAAGAAAGGATAACCTAAAAAGGGTTTGGACTTGGATTTTGGCGAGGAGGAAACTCTAAGCCAGTTTTGCCTTGCCCCAACTGTCCTATGCTGGGTGCCAGGTCTAAATTGTCACAAGTCACTGTGCGAGAAAGAACCTAGTTCTGTCTATATGGAACTCTTGTATTAGGCCTCAATGGTGAGCAGGGGAAACCTAGGCCGAAATGAAAGTGGGTGGCATCCATGACAGAAGTCAGCAGATGAACAGGCATCTCAGTAGCATGGTCCACCAAACCTGGGGTTCTTCAGCTCTCAGGCCCCTGTGGCGGTTTAAATCCAGAATGCTCATTTTCTGTTCCATCTAACCAGCTTTTAGCAGTTTAATTCCCCGCCCACCCAAAGGCATTTCGTCCCCTTCTGCCCTCTGCACGGGTGGGCTCTCTGCATCACTTCCCACCACTGGAGACGGGGGTCCTCTGCGTGCTCACAGTTTAAAGAAGCCATTTCCAGCATCAGTGCCTTCCTCGGGCCCCCGGCTTCCACACTTTGTACTCTTCTGCGTTGCTAAGCTGGAGTTGCCACCCAAAGACCCAAGTGCCCAGCCCACCTTCTTGTGTGCACACCCTGCAAGTCTCCCAGAACGAGAGGCGTTGGGAGTCGGGCACGGACGGCGCTGTGGCATGGTGTGCGTTCAGAGGGCGGAATCTTGGGGACTCTGTGTGAAGGAAGACAGAGGGTAGGAGTTGGAGGGTCGGAGCAGCCCCTGACTGGCGGCATCCGGCCTGGTGGCGTCCGTGGTGACGGTGGACCTTTCGGATTGCGCGAGCGCCGCCTGCGTCCCGTTGGTGGCCAAGGTCCTGACCCGGTGCGGAGTGCCCAGGCCGCGCAGGGTGTTGCGGAAGCCCTCGGCGCTGAAGTAGTACACCAGCGGGTCCAGCACGCAGTTGGCGCCGGCCAGCAGCACCATCACCATCAGTACCCCGCGCACGCGATCGCGGGCAGGCACGCTGGCCGCCACCAGCTTGCTTCGCTGCAGCCCGTAGACCGCCAGCGTGGCGTTGTAGGGCACGAAGCACAGCAGGAAGATGACGAGGTTGGCCAGCAGGAGGCGCACCGTCTTCAGCCGCCGCTGGCTCCGCGTGGCGTCGGGGCGCCCCAGCGTCCAGAAGACTCGGCCGGACGAGTAGACCACCGCCGCCAGGGGCAGCAGGAAGCCCAGAGCCTCGGCCAGCAGCACGAGGGGCAGCAGCCTGCCCTTCCACAGCTCGTCGCTGAAACTCTCGAAGCATAGGCGCACCTCGAGGTCCCGGTAGCGGCAGCGCGAGGGCCTGTGCACGCGGGCGGCGGGCACGGCAAACACCAGGATGAACGCCCACACGCCCAGGCAGAGCAGCCGCGCCACGCGGGGCCGTCGCAGGTGGCGCAGTCGCAGCGGGTGCACAATGGCAGCATAGCGGTCCACGTTGATGAGCATCAGGAAGATGCAGCTGCCGTACATGTTCATCTGGAAGATGGCGCCCGCCGTCTGGCACAGGAGGTCGGGGAAGGGCCAGTGGTGCAGTGCGTAGTAGGAGAGACGAAGGGGCAGCGAGAGGGAGAAGAGCAGGTCGCTGGCCGCTAGGTTACACATGTACACGCTCACCACCGAGTGCACGCGCAGGGCGCGCAGAAAGACCCAAAGGGCCAGCGCGTTGAGTGGGAGCCCGGCAGCCAGCACCAAGCTGTAGACCACCAAGTGCAGGCGGTGGGTAGGTCGGTAGTCAGGACACGGGAGAACAGAACTGTTGGTTGAGGAGCTGTTGGCCAACATTGTGCCAAAGTGGGAATGGGAGCTAGGCTGGGGATGCCATGGGGCACACCAGAGTCATGGCATGGCCTTCACCTCCGGGGCTGGGGCCTGGAGGCTGTACAGACATGGTCCCGAAACAAGCAGAGGGAGGGTATGGGAATGTGGGCTATGGCTGCAGGGACAGATGGCTGCCAAGGGTTGGGTGCGTTTGGTCACAGCTTCGTCAGCAGCAGGGACCTGAAATAGGAAGGCAAGCCAGAAGTTACACAGAGACAGGGCTACACTGGCAGGCCTTCTGAATCTTTTCTCAGCCTCAAGTCTGCCATTCGGCCAGAATAGGTTCCTACAGCAGGACTATATAGTACAGTGTTGAACGCCCAGTCTTGAAGGCAGGGACTCGGATGCCTAGGTTTAACTCTTGGTTTTGCTAACTTACCTAGTTGTGTGACTTCAGAAAAATTAATCTGGGCTGGGTGCAGTGGCCTACACCTGTAATCCTGGCACTTTGGGAGGCCAAGGCAGATCAATCGCTTGAACCTAGGGGTTGGGGACCAGCCTGGGCAACATGGCAAAACCCCGTCTCTACAAAAAAAATACAGGGCCAGGTGCAGTGGCTCACACCTGTAATCCCAGCACTTTGGGAGGCCGAGGCGGGTGGATCACCTGAGGTCAGGAGTTTGAGACCAACCTGTCCAATATGGTGAAACCCCCATCTCTACTAAAAGTACCAAAATGAGCTGGGTGTGGTGGTGCTCACCTGTAATCCCAGCTACTCGGAAGGCTGAGATAGGAGAATCGCTTGAAACTGGGAGGCAGAGGTTGCAGTGAGCTGAGACCATGCCATTGTACTCCAGCCTGGACAACAGAAGTGAAGCTCTGTCTCAAAAAATAAAAATAGCCGCGCTTGGTGGTTCACATCTGTAATTCCAGCACTTTGGGAGGCAGAGGCAGGTGTACCACCTGAGGTCAGGAGTTCGAGACCAGCCTGGCCAACATGGTGAAACCCTATCTCTACTAAAAAAAAAAAAAATTAGCCGGGCGTGGTGGCACATGTCCATAGTCCCAGCTACTTGTGAGGCTGAAGTGAGAGAATCACTTGACTCCAGGGAGGTGGAGGATGCAGTGCAGTGAGCGTCAAGTACACCATTGCACGCCGGCGTAGTAGCTCACGCCTGTAATCCAGTACTTTGGGAGACTGAGGCGGGCAGATCACCTGAGGTCAGGAGTTCAAGATTAGCCTGGCCAACACAGCAAAAAGGAGTTCGAGACCAGCCTGGCCAACATGGTGAAACCCTATCTCTACTAAAAATACAAAAATTAGCCGGGCGAGGTGGCGGGCGCCTGTAGTCCCAGCTACTCGGGAGGCTGAGGCAGGAGAATGGCGGGAACCCGGGAGGCGGAGCTTGCAGTGAGCTGAGATCCGGCCACAGCACTCCAGCCTGGGCGACAGAGCGAGACTCCGTCTCAAAAAAAAAAAAAAAAAAAAAAAATTAGCCGGGCGTGGTGGCACATGTCCATAGTCCCAGCTACTTGTGGGACTGAGAAGCAGAAGAATTGCTTGAGCCCAGGAGGTGGAGGTTGCAGTGAGCCAAGATCATGCCACTGCACTCCAGCCTGGGCGACAGAGCGAGACTCCGTCTCAAAAAAAAAAAAAAAAAAAAATTAGCCGGGCGTGGTGGCACATGTCCATAGTCCCAGCTACTTGTGAGGCTGAAGTGAGAGAATCACTTGACTCCAGGGAGGTGGAGGATGCAGTGCAGTGAGCGTCAAGTACACCATTGCACGCCGGCGTAGTAGCTCACGCCTGTAATCCAGTACTTTGGGAGACTGAGGCGGGCAGATCACCTGAGGTCAGGAGTTCAAGATTAGCCTGGCCAACACAGCAAAACGCTGTCTATGTTAAAAATACAAAAATTAGCCAGATGTGGTGGCATGTGCCTGTAGTCCCAGCTACTCAGGAGGCTGAGGCAGGAGAATCACTTGAACCCAGGAGGTGGAGGCTGCAGTGAGCTGACATTGTACCACTGCCCTCGAACCTGGGTGACAAAATGAGACTCTATCTCAAAAAAAAAGAAGAAAGGGGGCCGCACGGTAGCTTATGCCTGTGATCTCAGCACTCTGGGAGACTGATGTGGGTGGATTACTTGAGGCCAGGAGTTGAAGACCAACCTGGCCAATATGACAAAATCTTGCCTCTACTAAAAATACGAAGATTAGCCAGGTGTGGTGGCGTGCACTTGTAATCCCAGCTACTCGGGAGGCTAAGGCATGAGAATTGCTTGAATCTGGGAGGCAGAGGTTGCAGTGAGCCAAGATCACGCCACTGCACTCCAGCCTGGATGACAGAGCGAGACTTGTCTCAAAAAATGAGAGAGGTTGTTTGGAGATTAAGATGATGTGTGTAAGGCCGGGCGCGGTGGCTCAAGCCTGTAATCCCAGCACTTTGGGAGGCCGAGACGGGTGGATCTCGAGGTCAGGAGATCGAGACCATCCTGGCTAACACGGTGAAACCCCGTCTCTACTAAAAAATACAAAAAACTAGCCGGGCGAGGTGGCAGGCGCCTGTAGTCCCAGCTACTCCGGAGGCTGAGGCAGGAGAATGGCGTAAACCCGGGAGGCGGAGCTTGCAGTGAGCTGAGATCCGGCCACTGCACTCCAGCCTGGGCGACAGAGCAAGACTCCGTCTCAAAAAAAAAAAAAAAAAAAAAAAAAAGATGATGTGTGTAAAATGCTTAGGTTGCTGTTACTATCTCAAGATCTCTTCCTTCCTTCTTTCCTTGCTTACTGAGCTCATAGAAGGTTCCAGGCATGTTCACAGCAGGGAACAAAACAAAAAGTCTGTGCCCCCACCTCCTTTACATTCCATTGGAGGGAGACAGATAATAAGCACAAATCAATAGGTCGTTTTATGGAACACCTCCTAGGACCAGGTGCTAGGCTAGCTCCTCATTATCCAAAGAATAAAGGTCAAACTCCTGAGTATATGGGAGGCTGAGGCAGGAGAATCAGTTGAACCCAGGAGGCGGAGGTTGCAGTGAGCCAAGATCACACCACTGTACTCCAGCGTGGGTGACAGAGTGAGACTCCATCTCAAACAAGCAAACAAGCAAACAAAACTCCCAAATACAGAACAAAATCCCAGCCTTACTCATCACATCCATCATTGCGCCTATGTGGGCTGGATTTGTGGTCAAAGCAAACTGGGTTCAGCTTAATGGTTTGACTTCTCGGTTTCTTCATCTGTAAAATGGGCATAATAACATAACAGTGCCCTCGTAGGCTGATGGCATGCTCGTCTTCACCAGAGCCACATGTGAATAAATTTGACAGCACAGTCTTGCTAGGCAGGGGAAGGCCCTGTGGGTTGAGTTTTGCCAAGTGCTCCCCCAGCAGGTCTAATCCCAGATGAAGCTCTGTGGTAGTAGGGAGACGGTGGTTTGGTAGTGAGTGATCAAAGGGAACCCTAAGCCCAGAGAGCACAGAGGTGAGGTGAGGAAGGGGACCACTGGTGCTGACGAGGCTGCCAGAGGGGAGAATGCAGCAGCTGCAGTCCTCAGGCAAAAACTGACAGACAAAGGATGTGGTCAAGAGATGGAAGAGACAGAGGAAAGGACATAGTCTGAGGGATGCCACCTTCCTCAACGCCATAACGCCATGGAAGCCACCCCTCCACTTCAACCCCACGTACCATCTATTTTGTGTATGTGTGGTAAAATATACATAACTTAAAATTGGTAAAATTTTTGTGTGCATGCTCCGTCACCCAGGCTGGAGTGCAATGGCTCACTGCAACCTCTGCCTCCCAGGTTCAAGCAATTATCCTGCCTCTGCCTCCTGAGTAGCTGGGATTACAGGCATGTGCCACAATGCCCAGCTAAATTTTTTTGTATTTTCAGTAGAGATGGGATTTCACCATGTTGACCAGGCTGGTCTCTTAACTCCTGACCTCAGGTAATCTGCCCACCTCTGCCTCCCAAAGTGGGAGGATTGTTTACAATCATTATAGGTGTGAGCCACTGTGCCAGGCCTATCATTTTTTTTTTTTTTTTTTTTTTGAGACAGGGTCTTACTATGCTCCCCAGGCTGGTTTTGAACTCTTGGACACTCAAATGATCCTGCCTCAGCCTCCCAAGTAGCTGGGAGTTACAGGCATGCACCACTGCACCCAGCTAACATTTATCATTTCTAAGTGTACAATGCAGTGTCATTAAGTACATTGACAGTGTTGTGGCCGGGCGGGGTGCTCATGCCTATAATCCCAGCACTTTGGGAGGCCAAGGTGGGTGGATCACCCAAGGTCAGGAGTTTGAGACCAACCTGGCCAACATGGTGAAACCCATCTCTAGTGAAAATACAAAAATTAGCTGGGCATGGTGGCATGTGCCTGTAGTCCCAGCTACTTGGGAGGCTGAGGCAGGAAAATTGCTGGAACCTGGGAGGCAGAGGTTGCAGTGAGCCAAGATTGTGCCACTGCACTCCAGCCTGGGAGACAGAGCGAGAGTCTGTCTCAAAAACAACAACAACAACGAAAAAGACCAAGACAGTGTTGCTTAACCGTCACCACTGTCTGTTTCCAGAAATAGAACTTTTTCATCAACCAAGCAACGACTCTGCAGTCATTAAACGGTACTACCCACCGCACCCCACTCAGCTCCTGGTTCTAGTCTACTTTCTGTCTCAATGAATTTGCCTATCTTGGATATCTCATATGAGTGGAATCATACAATGTTTGTCCTTTTGTGTTTTTTTTTTTTTTTTGCTTTAGCATAGTGTTTCCAAGATCCATTCATGTTAGTATGTAAAGAAATTTCTTTTTTTCCTTTACCTTTTTTTTTTTTTTTTGAGACCCAGTTTTTCCTCTTGTGCCCAGGCTGGAGTGCAAATGCAACATCTCGGCTCACCGCAACCTCTGCCTCCGGGGTTCAAGCAATTCTCCTGCCTCAGCCTCCGAAGTAGCTGGGATTACAGGCATGCGCCACCACGCCTGGCTAATTTTGTATTTTTAGTAGAGACAGGGTCTCTCCCTGTTGGTCAGGCTGGTCTCGAACTCCTGACCTCTCAGGTGATCCACCTGGCTCGGCCTCCCAAAGTTCTGGGATTACAGACGTGAGCCATGTGCCTGGCCTGGAATTTCATTTTTATAGCTGGATAATGTATTTTGCTGTATAATATTTTGCTCATCCATTCATCTGTCAGTGAATACTTGGATTCTTTCCACCTTTTGGCTATTGTGAATAATGCCACTGTAAACATGGGTGTCTAGATGTCATCTTAGGGAGAGAAGTTGTCTGAGACCCTGAGCAATTATCCCAAGACACCGAGCTTATTCCTTTCAAAAGGAACTGTTTAGGCAGGGCGCGGTGGCTCACGCCTGTAATCCCAGCTACTCGAGTGGCTGAGGCGGGAGAATTGCTTGAGCTCGGGAGACGGAGGTTGCAGTGAGCCAAGATTGTGCCACTGCACTCCAGCCTGGCCGACAGAGCGAGACTCTGTCTCAAAAAAAATAAATAAAGAAAAAAAAGAGGCCGGGCGCGGTGGCTCAAGCCTGTAATCCCAGCACTTTGGGAGGCCAAGACGGGCGGATCACGAGGTCAGGAGATCGAGACCATCCTGGCTAAGACGGTGAAACCCCGTCTCTACTAAAAATACAAAAAATTAACCAGGTGTGGTGGCAGGTGCCTGTAGACCCAGCTACTCGGGAGGCTGAGGCAGGAGAATGGCATGAACCCGGGAGGCGGAGCTTGCAATGAGCCGAGATTGAGCCACTGCACTCCAGCCTGGGCGACAGAGTGAGACTCCGTCTCAAAAAGAAAAAAAAAGGGCCAGGCACGGTGGCTCACGCCTGTAATCCCAGCACTTTGGGAGGCCGAGGCAGGCAGATCACAAGGTCAGGAGATCGAGACCATCCTGGCTAACATGGTGAAACCCCGTCTCTACTAAAAATACAAAAAAAAAAATGAGCCAGGCGTTGTGACGGGCGCCTGTAGTCCCAGTTACTTGGGAGGCTGAGACAGGAGACTGGCGTTAACCCGGGAGGTGGAGATTGCAGTGAGTCAAGTTTGTGCCACTGCACTACAGCCTGGCAACAGAGCGAGACCCCGACTCAAAAAAAAAAAAAAAAAAAGAGGAACTGTTTAAATTGTTGCAAGAAAATAAGTTATAACCTGACTATAACAAGTTTTTTTGGTGGTTGTTTTACTTTTTTTTGGTGTTTTTTTTTGAGACAGGGTCTCACTCCATGGTCCAGACTGAAAACAGAGGCTTGATCTTGGTCCACTGCAGTCCTGACCTCCCAGATTCAAGGGATCCTCTTACCTCAGTCTCTGAGTAGTTGGACCTACAGGTGTGTGCCACCATCCCTGGCTAATTTTTAATTTTTTTATAGATGGCCGGTGCAGTGGCTCATGCCTGTAATCCTTTGGGAGGCTGAGGTGGGTGGATCACTTGAGGTCAGGAGTTCGAAACCAGCCTGACCAACATGGTGAAACCCCATCTCTACTAAAAATACAAAAAATTAGCCAGGCATGGTAGCAGGTGCCTGTAATCCCAGCTCCTCAGGAGACTGAGTCAGGAGAATCGCTTGAATCCAGGAGGCAGAGGTTGCAGTGAGCTAAGATCGCGCCACTGCACTCCAGCCTGGGCTACAGAGCAAGACTCCATCTCAAAAAAAGAAAAAAAAATTTTTTTTCGTAGAAACGGGGTCTGACTGTGTTGCCCAGACTGGTCTTAAACTCATAGGCTCAAGCAATCCTTATGCCCTGGGGCTCTGAAAGTCCTAGGATTACAGGCATGAGCCACTGTACCGGGCCACAAGTTTTTCTTGTATTTGGTTTTGTTCTCCCTCCAACCACCCCCATCAACAGTTTGAGACTTGTAAGAGATATAGTAAAACAGTTAAAGGGAATAAAGAAATACTTCCTCTGCAAAGTACCAATCTCAACAACGAAAATAATACCAAATGGGACTTAAACATGCTGAAAGGCAAGTAAAAGCAGGCTCATTTCTGATACACTCCCCTGGCCCATGCTCCTTTGCTCCATTCACACCAAACTAATACTAATTGTGGACATACCTTAAGTTTTCAGGACTCTGCCTTGGTATGTGGTGTTTTTTCAACTTGGAATGCCCTGCCTCCTGTTCTCCAACTGGCAAGCCTAGTATTTTCTCCAGACTCTGCAAAGCCGTCCCTGACCGCCCCGGGCAACACAGGCAGATGTGGTATCCTTACTTGTGCCTCCGCTGCAGTGCGGCGGTTTCTCAGTGCTCTCCCCATGCTTGGTAGTCAGCTATTCCTGGTCTGCCTCTCCCATTCGACTGTGAGCTCTTAGAGGGAGGGGCTGTGGACCATGGCTTATTCATCTTTGTGTATTCCCAGCACCTACCTCTGTAAATGTTAAAAATACTAGCTATCATTTACTGATCATCACCATATTGCAGTGTGCATACATAACATCCAACATAGATACATTATTTCACTTCCTCGTTTGTCCAACTGAAATGTATAAAGTGGGTTATTCTAATAATATTTTTAATAACCCACTTCCAAAAGTGGTGACATAAACTCATGTTTCACACATGCACATAAATACGCCTCCTTGAATCACCTGAAACCAAGAGGTGGAGCTTGCGGTGAACCAAGATCACACCACTGCACTCCATTCTGGGCAACAGAGTGAGACTCCGTCTCAATGAAAATAAATAAATAAACAGTCCGGGCGCGGTGGCTCACGCCTGTAATCCCAGCACTTTGGGAGGCCGAGGCGGGCAGATCATGAGGTCAGGAGTTTGAGACCAGCCTGGCCAACATGGTGAAACCCCATCTCTACTAAAAATACAAATTAGCTGGGCGTGGTGGTGCATGCCTGTAGTCCCAGCTACTTGGGAGGCTGAGGCAGGAGGATTGCTTGAACCCGAGGGGCGGAGGTTGCAGTGAGCAGAGATCGTGCCACTGCACTCCAGCTTGAGTGACAAAAGTGAAACTCCATCTCAAAAAAATAAATAAGCCTCCTTACAATTCCCCCTTAAGTGCATACATAAGCACTTAGTTTGCTGTTTTGAGCCCCTCAATCGTTCTATGTGTATTTGCTCTATTTCCCTAACTAGATGGTAAGCTCCTAGGGTGGGAGCGCACCTTGCAGACACATTTCACTCTCTGCATTTAGCAGGCCCTGAGTGACACTTACTGGCTGCTTAATAGGAAATTCAACCTCCCCACCCCATACACCCATCCCGCCCCCAACTGCCCCCGCCCACGCTCTAATTCTGTGATAATAGTTCTTATATCAATTTTGTCCAAATGTATAACTCAGCAAAAGACCACTTCCCTTAAAAGACCTGTTTGGAAACAGCTTGCAATTAAGATTTCAGTAACAGTTTACACTATAATTACAGTATCACTTGATCATTCTTAACCATGACTTGGAGAACCAGTAGATACTTCCAATTAGAAAGCATATACTAGACACTGAATGAGTGGATGGATTATTTTCAAAGAACCTCAAGGCAGCCCTTCTTCCCTTCCCTCCCCCTCCCCTCCCTTCCCCCCCCTTCCCTTCCCGAGAGGGAGTTTCACATGCCCTATCACCCAGGCTGTAGCGAACAGGCACAATCTCGGCTCACTGCAACCTCTGCCTCCTGGGTTCAAGTGATTCTCCTGCCTCAGCCTCCCGAGTAGCTGGGATTATAGGCGCTCACCACCACGCCTGGCTAATTTCTGGTTTTTTTTGTTGTTGTTTTTTTGAGACGGAGTTTCACTCTTGTTGCCCAGACTGGAGTGCAATGGCTCAATCTCGGCTCCCTG